AGAGAATTGATAACATTATATTGCAAATGGAGAAACGTGTAGTTGAGGGTTTTCAACGAAGGGCTGTCTTATTAATTGTGTGGTATAATGTATCTCTCAAACAGTAAGACATAAAAAGGAACAAATGGTATTGGACGAACGAAGCTTCAAAATTAAAAATGCAAAGCCGTTGGATAATAGAATGCAGTACTTTTGGACCCTTCTAATCCTTGTAATTAGAATCCCATGCACGACAAAGATAGATTCCTAAATCCTGCATCCTGACTAAAACAATAGGCAAAGCTAAATCTAATAGATTTCTTAAACCAATCAAAAGGAAACAAGAAGTTGTTCATCTCAGTCATTGCGAAAGTGACTGAAAATGAAATTAGACAGATAAGTTTCTCCATCTTCTCATCGGCCATTGCTAGACAAAAGCTAGCCATTTCCTAATGGGAGGGTAGAATATTTGACAGACACATCCTGTATCACATAGAATGGTTACTTGTACCAGTTATTAACATAAATAGAGCTGTTAAATATTTACCAAAACAATGTATGCAAAACAATAACCATTTCCTGGTGATAATTAAGAGAACTTGCACATCACCAGAACTTTCTCATGATTACTTTCCTTACTCGGTCAAGTCTTATATTTGATCATATAAGATTTAAGAAAAACCTTACTTGTCTGCCAAAATTTCAGTACTAGTTTGGCAGATTTCTGGTCTTAAGGAGGAAAAACAGGATCATCTGATCCCCTGGCATTCTACGCGCGCGTATTGCTATTTTTGTGGACTTATGAAAATAGAAGGAAAGGCAAAGAGCACCATGAGATTGTCAGAAGTCGCCCCAGGCAGCTTACTATTATTATTAATACATTTTTTGAGCTGCGATATTTCAACTAAATGAAAGGTTCTAATAATTATTCTATCCTTGACCTGGGAAAGTTTTGTTTTCCTTTTCAAAATCTTTTAGCCAATCAAAAAGAAAACAGGATAGGATTTCCTAGCGTTCAATCTGAACATATCCAAGCAATCATCTAGTCTAGCATGCGTTAGTAATAATAGAAAAATGTGCAAATCGTTTCTCTGTACACATCATAGTTGTCGTAAAATTATTCTGAGGAAAAACAATAAAACAAGATAGCATTCTCCAAGTGAGAATCCTATTTTACTGCTTTAACCAGAAACAAAAAAAATATAGAAATCGCTTTACACCCTTGAGATTTGCTCAAGATCAAGTGGCCTTTCGTATCATATATATATATATATATGTATATGTATGTATGTATGTATAATTGGGAACAGCCAGAGAACATAAGGAACAATTGAACGAAGATCAAAAAAGGGCTTTCACTTTTTCGGCCCATATTAAGAACTAGCTTGTCTATAACTGGTCCAGAGAACATGAGGAACCATTGAACAAAGATAAAAAGGCTCTCACTTTTTCGGGCCATATTATGAACTAGCTTGTCTATGACTGGTCCAGAGAACATGAGGAACAATTGAACAAAGATCAAAAAAGGGCATTCACTTTTTCGGCCCGTATTATAAACTAGCTTGTCTATAACTGGTCATTACCAAATGAGCTTAAGTGAGCAACAAGATAAGACCTGGCCCACGTAAGAACAGCCAGATTGTTTGTATTTGCAGTTTTGTTCAAAATCTAACGGCTTTTATAGAAATAATGGATTGACATGATAGTTTCTCTGTCTCAGATAGATTGTTTCCTGTTTTATTTATAGCTTTTTCAAAAAACTTATCCGATTAAAATTTTAAATAATGTATTTTTAAAAAAAATATTGATAAAGAAAATAAATTATTTCTTCTATTTCTTGTTATTTGCTTACAAAAAATCAATATTCATTATGCTTTTCTCTTATACATACAAATACTTAAAAAAAAATCAATTTTTTTTGTTATTTGAAAAATATTCACTTTTATAAAAACTTTACTACATGCTGAAATTTTTGGATTAAAATATTTTAATTAGTATATTGTTTTTTATAATTTTTTTAAACTTGATTGTTAATTAACTTAAGGATTTCATTTTATTTTTATTTACCATCTTAATTTTATATAATTTTTTTAATTAATATTGTTTCTATGTAATACATGATTAGATTTAATAACTAATAATTTTAACAAAAATTATATTTTAGAAGAGTATAAAAAAATGTTAATATAATATAATAATTAATAATATTTTTTAAACTGTGTAAAAAGTTAAAGTGAGTAATCTCTTTGGTATAAAGATAATAATATTTTTGAAAAATTCATCTCTCTTTTTTGTACGATATTGGACATAAATTGTTCATAAATTCAAAAAAACTTGACCTTTAAAATCAATCAAAAGCTTAGTGTGTGTGTAGGAAAGCCAATGGAGTGGGGCATTCCCGTCCCCACCTCGTCCTTTAAAATTTTGCCTCATTTTCGTCTCGTGCTCCGTTCGAAGCAAAATTTATCATTCCATCTCCGCCCCAAACAGGAACGAGGATCCCCATGGAGTACTAACATAACAAACGGGGCAAAAAAATTATTAATTTTTTTTCATCTCATCCTATCCTATTCTACTTTCAAATTTCAAACTATAGCTAAAAAATGATAGTTCATATAGAAAATAAATCTTAAAAATCACTAGTTACAGATTTTATATATGATATAATTATAATTTCATGAATAAAAAATCATGAAATCGGGTAAACGAGGCAAATGGTATAATTATATTTTTTTTGAAGCAGAAAATTTATGAAAAACAAAAAAAAAATTAACGAAAAAATTTTTAAATGATTTTATTTTGTCTAACTTGCAGCATAGTTTGGGTAAACCACTAGTTATTAGTATATTTCTTGAGCTGCCATGTTTCAACTAAGTTAAAGGTTTTAATAATTGGTTTATCCGTGACCGGGCAAAGTTTTGTTTTCTTTTTCCAAATCCATTAGCCAACAGAAAAGAAAAAAGGATAGCATTTCCTGAAGTTCTGTCTGAACATATCTAAGCAATCATCTAGCCTAGCATACGTTATTAATAATAAAAATAATGTGCAAATCGTTTCTCTTGATACATTGGAGAATCCCATTTCACTCCGTTGACCAGAAACAAAAAAAAAAAAATATATATATATATATATATATATATATAGAAATCGTTTCGCACTCTTGAGATTTTTTCAGAAGCATATATATATATATTAAACTGCATTTCAAAATTTTAAACATCGAGTTTTTCCATGGCCAGAAAGCATGGAGAACGATGGAACAAAAGATCAAAAAGGCTTTCCTTTCTTGGCCCAGATTATAAACTAGCTTATCCATGACTGGTCGGTACCAAATGGGCCTAAGTGAGCACAGAGATAAGACCTGGCTCCCGCAAGAACAGCCAGGTTGTTTGCGTTTTCAGTTTTGTTCCAAATTTAACGGCTTTTATAGAAATAATTTGATTAATATAATCCTTTTTCTGTCTCAAAAGAGTTATTATTATTTATTATGTTTATTTTAAAATATTTATCTGATCAAAACTTTAAGATATATTTTTAAAAAATTCTTAATTAACAAAAAAATCGATTATTTCTTTCTTTTTTCTGTTTTTTACTTATAAAAAATCAATATTTTTTATATCATTTCTTTTCTTTATGCATGTAAATGCTTTTAATATATATATATTATTTGAAATTTTGATACAGTAAAGTTTTTGTAAAAAATATTTATTTTTATATAAACTGTACCGCATGTCGAAAAGACATGCATCCATGTGAGCCAAGACATATTATTCGAGACATCGAGGAGTGCTGCTATTCATCTTGAATCAGTGTTCCGATTATCAACCATTGACGGGGAACTTGATAGAAACAAACCGTCATTTGTGAAAGAGAAGACATGTCGCCCGAACAAGGACACTTGGTCGCGTGGGATCAGTTAGGGTGTTCACTATTTGGTGAAAATTGAAAAATCAAACTCGTATCGAAATATTAATTTTGGTATGGTTTTTTTAAAGTTTTTTTAAACAAAATGATATATAATCGATTTTTGGTTTCGGTTTCGATTTTTTTGAAAAAAAACCGAATAACCGAATTATTAAAAAAAAAAAGAATTTTTAAATTCACGAGTGAAACGACATCTTTTCACTCCTTTCCGAATTCTCAAACCTAAAATCACAAGTTCCTCTTCCTCATTTCGTCTTCCTTGTTCCTAAAATTTAAATTTTTTTAATTTTTTTTATTTCTTAAAACAAAAAAATCAAAATAAATTGTAAAAATATAGAGACTAAATTTGTTTCTCAAAACTAGAAGGATTAATTTATCATTTATTTTATAAAACTTCAAGAGTTGAAAATGTTCTTCAACAAATGAACTAAATTTAAACATTGATCATACAATATTTTACGTTGACCAATTTAATTATAAAATATTTTATCAAAAAAAATATAAGAAAATAAAAAAAATCTTGAGTATTAATTATAGATGAAAATCGAATTACCGAATAAAAAAACCGGTATATTTCAAAACCGAATCGAAAAATTGAATAATAATTCGGTTTGGTTACGGTTATTTTTTTAGACAATTCAATTAATCGAAAATCGATAAAAAAATTTCGAAACGGAACCGAATTCCCGAACGAACACCCCTAGTACCAGTTGCTCAGTTGGTCTTGATTGTGCCCATTTTAATTGGAAATGAGTTGAAATGGTTATAATCGTATTGCTTTAAGTTGCTATATCAAATCCAAATCTAAGAATGTTCTCAATAAGATTTAGCATCTTATTTGTTACAAAAAGCAATGTGCGGTTCAGTGTTTGGAGGACCTATTAAGCCCTGGATCTGGAGTTCGTTATGGTGGTCCAAGGATGTGGCTTTAAGAGAATTGGATGTGCTTCTGTATCAAGTGTTGTCTTCAAAGATCTGGAAGCTAGGGACAGTTCCTATATAGTTGCCAATTCGACTTTGTTAGATTTTACTCTAGACAAATTTTGAGTGAGAAAAACCAGTGGCTTGATAAAGGGTTTGCTGAAACTTCCCATTGCATGGGAAAAAACTCTGATAGAATTAAAGGGCTCCCTGCGATCAGGGATGAAAGTGTGAAATCCAATGACAAGAGACGCGGTAAATCTTCAGAAGTTACTGCAGAGGTTGCTGCACCTGTATCTCCAGCATTGGGGTCCCAACATGGAGTGATTGAAGATGAAGAAACTGAATCAGGAAATGCGGTGGATGCTTTATATGATTCCAAAACTTGCAGTTGATGGTGGGAGCTCCCGAGAGGAGTTCTAAAGAGGAGATTAATTGTGAGTCCTCTTGAAAGGAGGGTTATGGATTGGCATTTTGCTCATCTGGAGCATGGCTGTGCTGCTTCTTTCAAGAAAGTTTCTCTTCCCTGCTGGAATCAGGATGATGTTTATGGAGGATTTGGAGGAGCACATTGTATGATTAAAAGGGGTACAGTAATGTTGTCGAGTCTCTTGGGGAAGGACTCATCATTCACGTGAACCATGTAGTCACAGATATTTCCTACGGCATCAAAGATGCAGGAGCAAGCTAAAGTCTGGTTCGTAGCAAAGTTAAATTCTACAACTCATATTGTTAACTATAATTGGAAAAGCATTTTTCATTCTATAATTTTTCTCATGCGAAACGTTGCATCTGCGCTAACTAATTAGAAAATGGTTGACTTTTGTCTCTTCTTTTTCATGATTCCTTAACAACAAATCTGATCTGTATGAACAAAGTCTGTCTAATCCTGTCCTTTCAGTGCACATATCGCCAATGCTATGAAAATTCCAACTTGATTCGTTAATAAAAACAACTTAAATATTAAAACAAGATGAAAACAACTTGATTCGCACCAAGTTGGAGTAATAATTCTAATGATGTAAAATAAAAATATTTTTGAAAAAACCTATAAAAAGAATTTAGTTGGAGAAGGAAAATACAGATGTAGAAAGAGCAAAGAATATGGGAGAAAGATATCGCAAAAATCCTTTGTCTTCTCTTTACGGTTTTATCATTTTGTTTTCTAAGCCAGATATTTTAAAAATATATATATTTCAATGATATGCAGAAGAGATTAAATTCATGTGGCATAAAATTCTCTGTTATAAGAAATAATAGATTAGAACTACCTTATTTGGAGAATAAAGATTTTAAACTACCATGTTTTTGAAAAATATTAATTACCAATATCTTTATTTTCGAAAGGTCTTAATTAATTAAAATAAAATGATAGATCATGCACAAGATAACATAAGAGGATCTCAATCTAAAACCAATTGTTGAAATCTTTTCAGAATGGGATGCTTAATAAATAAATTATTAAATTATTAATCAATTTGATTCAGTTTGATTTATTCTATTAATTAGTGGATATTTTAATTACTAACTATATTTGAAAGATTCAATACAAATATTTTTCTTATTAAATAGGAAATAATGTATGGATTTGAATCTTTTTATGACCAGTTATATTTCAAACCTCACGGTTAATTTTGAATTCCATTATTTGAATTAAGTGAAAGAAATAAAATAATAAAAAATTAAAATTTTTGTCATTTCTACCAAAATTTGCTCATAATTTTAATTTTTTACTATGCCGTCTTTCAAAATCAATTGACCTGTTTGATATTAAAAAAATTTAAAAAATGATTTGAGGGCAACAAAATAATTTAGAAACTCTTCTTCACAATTTTACAGAGATTATAGTATGGTTATTCGCACTAAGTTGGAGTAATATTTATAATGATGTAAAATAAAAATATTTTTGAAAAAAAACTATAAAAAGAATTTAGTTGGAGAAGGAGAATATAGATATAGAAAGAACAAAGAATATTGAAGAAAGATATCACAAAAATCCTTTGTCTTCTCTTTCAGTTTCATCATTTTGTTTTCTAAGCCAGATATTTTTAAAACACATATATTTTAATGACATGTACAAGTGATTAAATCCATGTGACATAAAATTCTCTCTGTTACGAGAAATAATAGATTAAAATTACTTTATTTAGAGAATAAAGATTTTAAACTATCATGAATATTCCTAATATCTTTATTTTTGAAAGGTATAGATCGTGCATGAGAGAACATAAGAGCATCTCAATCCAAAACCAATTGTTGAAATCTTTTAAGAATGGGATCTTTAATAAATAAATTATTAATCAATTTGATTCAGTTTGATCTACTCTATTAATTAGTGGATATTTTAATTACTAACTATATTTGAAAGATTCAATACAAATATTTTTCTTATTAAGTAGGAAATAATTAATGTATGGATTTGAATTTTTTTATGACCGGTTATAATTCAAACATCATGGTTGGTTTTGAATTCTATTATTTGAATTAAGTGAAAGAAATAAAATAATAAAAATTATCATTTTCATCATGCATTAAATCATTATCATCCAATTTGATTTTAAAAATTTAGATTCAATGAATATAACAATCACATTTTCTTAAGAACGTGAGAGGATTTCAACTCAAAATGTACCACGAGAATGGGGGAATGTGAATTCCTATGGAAATTTTACAATAATAAGGCTAATCACACATAAATATTTTACAAAATCCAAAATGGATATTTCAAGCATTAAGTAGTTTTAATAGAGCTTTACCATGGCCACTTGGATCCAATTTCTTCTCTGCTTTAATATCGCACTCTGTCTTTTGAGTGTAGGAGCAATTGACGATCAAGAACAACATTTACCAATTGTTCAAGTCATCAATTCATTACCTCCAAACTCACAAACACTGCAAGTTAGCTGCGATACCGAGAATATTGATTTGGGTGAACACACACTTTCTGTAGGTCAAGTCTACGAATGGAAAGTTGAGAAGAAGTCTATATATTACTGCGCAGCTCAATGGAAACTATATTTTGCTTCGTGGCATGCGTTTGAACTACCTAGAGATGAGAATCGAGAAATGGTGTATTGGGCAGTGAGGAAAGATGGGTTTTATCTTAGCTGGGATAAAACCAAGTGGGTGAGGAATTCTACTTGGGAAACTGAGTGATTTTTAGTGTTCGTGTTGGTATAGTATATAGCTCAATTGCTATAGTGTCTCCACTGTTTTTCCGAGTTCTCAAGTTTTATTTTTTAAATAAAATAATAATAAATTGATTGCTTTAATTGTTTGTATATATATATATATTACTTAGAGCTTTATCAATATTATTTATAATGCATTGTGACTGATTGGTCCGTAAGAAATGAAAAGTAGATCCAAGAGTGTGTCCATGTCTGCTCATTCACTATTCTCACAAGTTGGAATGCCACTTCTAAAATTCTAACTGTGAAACTCCCATAATTCTGATACAAACAGTATTTTTGTGTTAAATCAATATATACAGGGATGATAATCTCTACCTGCATGTTGAAATTATCCCCTGATTGGATTGAATTTTGATTCATTTGACCAAGATCAGATCCAATCCACTAGAACTAGAGTATGATAGATGGGGCTAGGTTTGACTTGTTGCATTCACCTTGTTATCCAACCCAATTACCTTTTTTTTTTTTTTTTAACATATACCTCTTTTCATTATTACATGCACAGAGACGTTTTATAATTTAGTATTATTCTAATTTACCTATCATTTCTATAATGTCCAGGTATCAAAGTGTTGGTCTATCCTAAATTTAGAATTTTATACTTCAAAGTACTAACAACTTTGGATTTTTTTTTAATAGAAAACATTATTTTTTATCTATTTTTTTACTAAAAATATTATAAATAGATTTTTTACGTATAGATTTGTATTTTATTTTTTTCAATTATATGTTAGGTTAATGAAAAATCTAACCGAAATAATAAAAATCGAATACTCACCCTTACATTTTTCCTCTTTAAAAAGTACAAAAATCCAAAAATTAATACTTGCGTTTTATTTGGGAACCAAGTCAAAGGGGAAAGAAAGTGTAAGGATTGAAAACGAGGGAAAAAAAATTCAATGGAAATAAAACAAATCTTTTTTTTTTTTTTTTTATGCTTGGAAGGAGGGGGAATTTGAAACAATGAATCTAAGTAAAGGTTATGTAATTACATTTTTATCCTTGTTTTTGTAGTGAAGAATTATTATTATTATTTTTTTCTAAGGTTAAAATGAGTAATTAAACATACCCCTTCCCTCCTGAATGGAGAGATTGATTTTCAGGGGGCTGATAGAAAAATTTCCTTCCTTTTTTCTCGAACAAAAGATTAAAAAAAAAAGAGCTTTCCGTTTTCGGCTCAAATTATAAACTAGCTTGTCCATGACTGGTCATTACCAAATGGGCCTCACCGAGCACCGAGATACGACCTGGCCCATGCAAGAACAGCCAGACTGTTTGTATTTCAGTTTTGTTCAAAATTTAACGGCTTTTATAAAAATAATTTGATTAACATTATAACATCCAACTATAATGATATCTGAATTTTATAATGTATACATAAACCAATTTACAATTTGAATTATTTCTTTATCCGTTCAAAACACACTTGATATTGCTAAATTATACCTGCTTGTTATTTATTAATTTAAATAAAATAATAAAAAAATAACTCTGAAATGCCTCTGTGTGTGTACATTAAATTTAATTAATATTAGTAACGATCTGGACTTTTTTTATTATTTCATCCAGATTTATTGCTCTGCATATATGTTTTTGAATTGTCTCGCTAATTAAATTGTGTTATGAAGAAAAAACTAAGTTTTGATGCCTTGGTCCAAAGTCCAAGCTCTAAAAGACATCAAATGCATTTGTTACTGTTCTGAGACATTCTTTGCCAGATACCACTAAAAGCAAATCGTCCCAATCTATGGTTCAAGACAAGGAGCCATGTGAGGCAAGACATATTGTCCAAGACACCGAAGATTGCTGCTACTCATCTTGAATCAGGTTTCCGACTATTGACCATTGACGTCATCTGGGTAAAGAGAAGACAAGTCGCTCGAACAAGGGTGCTTGGTCGTGTTGAACTAGTTGCCCAGTTCGCCTAGGTCGTGCCCATTTCGACTGGAAATGAGTTGAAGTGGTTATAATAGTATTGCTTTAAGTTGATATATGGAATCCAAATCTAAGCACTGAAGGTTATAATTGGGCCTATGGCCCATGGATTTATTGTTCTCAATAAGATTTCGCATTTTATTTGTCACATAGAACAATAAATATGGCCATGAAACGTCGGATTGGATTGGACTTGTAGTTAAGAATGTTCCCTTCAGATCGGAGAGTGCATCCATGGCTACTCATTCACTACTCTCACATGTTAGAATTGCACCCCTAAAATTCTAATTGTGAATCTCCCATGATTCTGATACAAATAGTGTTCTTATGTTAAATCAATATATACAAGGATGGTAATTTCTACCTGTATGTTGAAACTACCCCCTCCCTCCCATTGGATTGAATTTTAATCCGTTTGATCAGGATCAGATCCAACCTACCTGAACTAGAGCAGGATAGATGGGGTTAGGTTCGACCTGTTGCACCTTTTTATCCAACTCAGTTATTATTATTATTTTTTTTACATATATCTCTTTTCAATAACAAACGTCTAGAGACGTTTTATAATCTAGTATTATTCTAATATACCTAACATTTCTATAACATTCAGGTTTAAAATTGTAGGTCCATCCTAAATTTAGAATTTTATACTTCAAAATTCTAACAACTGTGGATTTTTTTAATAGAAAAATACAAAAAAATTCTAAGTAGATTTTTTATGTACGTATTTGTATTTTATTTTTTTCAATTACATGTTAGGTTAATAAAAATTCGAATTGAAATAATAAAAATCGAATACTCAACCTTACAGTTTTCCTCTTTAAAAAGTATAAAAACCCAACAGTTAATGCTTGAGTTTTATTTGAAAACCAAGTAAAAGGAGAAAGAAAGTGTAAGGATTGAAAACGAGGGGAAAGATAATTTAATGGAAATAAAACACGTATATACATTTTCAACTTTTTTCGGTGCTTGGAAGTAGGGGGAATTTGAAACAATGAATCTAAAGAGAGTTGATGTAATTATATTTTTATCCTTGTTTTTGTGGTGAAGATTTATTATTATTATTATTATTTTGTAAGGTTAAATCGAGTAATTAAGTATACCCCCTTCCCTCCTGAATGGAGAGAGTGATTTTCGGGGGGCTGATAAGAAAATTTTCTTCCTTTTTTCTAGAACAAAAGAGTTAAAAAAAAAAAAAAAAGCTTTCAACTTTCGGCTCAAATTATAAACTAGCTTCTCCATGACTGGTCATTACCAAATGGGCCTAAGCGAGCACTGAGATAAGACCCGGCCCATGCAAGAACAGCCAGAATGTTTGTATTTCAGTTTTGTTCAAAATTTAACGGCTTTTATAGAAATAAGTAGTTGGATACCGGCACGATGCTCATGTCGGACAATCATTATATACGTAAAGTCTGCAATTCGGATGATATAATATGAGTAAAAAAAGCTTATTTCTCATAATTAATATAGATCAAATTTATTTACTGAGAAAAATCATTTGATTTATATATATTTATTAATAAAATAATCAATAATATTAGCATAAAAAGTTGTATTTAAATAATTGAAATTTTCTTTCAAAAAATTATTTCAATTATTTTATTTAAAAAAATATTGATTTTAGAGTATAAAAAAGAATAAATAAAAAATAATTGGTGTTATGTAGATACATAATTAATATTTAACAAAACCGATGATATATATTTCAATTGTTTTATTTTAAAAATATTAATTTTAAAACCTAAAAAATAATAAATAACAAATAATTAGTGTTATGTATGTAGATACATATTTAATTTTCAACAAAACCATTACAAAAGTTAATAAATTAAAAATAAAAACCATTACAAATTTGGTTTTTATAAATTTTACTTCTTAATTTATAATGAAAGAGATTCTTGAATTGTAAATTAAATTATAAATTAATTCATCTCATTTTAAAAAATGAATTAATTAATTATTTTGGCTTCAAAAATAAATTATTTAATTTTTTTAATCGAGTGTTGACCACGAATAATTTATTATTTATTTAAAAAAATTTCTCATATTTTTACTTTTTTTTCTTTCTCAATTTCTTTTAAAAAAAAACCATTGAAATAGCAAAAAGGATAAAAAAAATTAGTTTTTGAACTAAAAGGACCAATGATGTTATGTATTCAGATACACAATTAATTTTCAACAAAAATAATGATATATATATATATATATATATATAACTATCTAAGTTGTATGAAATATATCAAAGCTAATAAATTGAAATAAAAACTATTACAAAATTGGTTTTCATAAATTTTACTTCTTAATTTATGACGAAAGAGATTCTTGAATTGCAAATTAAATTATAGATTAGTTCTTCTTGTTTTGAAAAAAGAATGAATTGATTATTTTGATTTAAAAAATAAATTATTTAATTTTTTTAATTAGCATTGACCACGAATAATTTATTTTTATTTTAAAAAATACCTTTTTTCATATTTTTTCCTTTCTCTATTTCTTAAAAAAATAAAAATAAAAACATTGAAATAACAAAAAGGATTAAAAACAAATAGTTTTTAAACCGGAGGGGCTAATGGTGTTACGTAAGCGAGATACATAATTAATTTTCAATAAAAATATATATATAAACATTAAAAAAAAATTTAAGTTTCATGGAATATGTTAAACTCAATAAATTGAAATAAAAACTGCTACAAAAATTGGTTTCTATGATTTTTTTTTTAATCCATGATAAAGAGATTCTTGAACGACAAATTAAATTATAAATTGCTTCATCTCGTTATGAGAAATGAATTAATTAATTCTTTTGGTTTCAAAAATAAATTTTTTAATCAATGTTGACCATGAATAATTTATTTTTTATTCTATAAAATGTCTTCTTTTTCATATTTTTACTTTTTTTATTGTTTATCTATTTTTTTTTAAAAAAAAAAACATTGAAAGAGTAAAAAGGGCAAAAAAAAAAAAAAAAGTGTTTGAACCACATGGACTAATTAATTTGTTTCTTGAAGAAAGAGACACGAATTTATAATCACTCTTGAATAGCAAGTGACTTTGGCTTTCATGTTGAAAAACAAAAATTAAAAGAAGATAGGAGCATTAAATGCTCAATTTGAAAAAAGAAGAAGAAATGATGAAAAAGGCCCAAAAATAAAATTAAAAAGAAAATCAGTCAAGGGAAAAATGAAGTTTCTCAAATCCATCGAATGTCAAAAGAGAAATTAACAAAAAGGTAGGGACAAAAAATCAAGCAACACAATGAATAATGAATCTAAGTCTAAAAAAATAGTAAATATCTCAGTTCTTTTAATTTTTTCTTACTAATATATATTAAATTAAAAAGAAAAGATAAAAATTTTATTTAATTCTATAATTTATAATCAAATTTTGTATTTCATTCGTGCTTCTTTATGTTTTTAATAAATTTTGTTGTTAAAAAACCATAATTCGGTTTTTTTTTTCTATTCACTCATTTTTAAATAAAAACCTACAATAATATAAATATAAATTTTAAAAACATCTTAATATTTTTTTTTATAAGGCTATATCAAAGAAATATATCACCAATATATAAAAATTCAGATAAAAATTAACTAATGATTTTTTAAAAACTTTTTAAAAATATGCACATTTGACATATAGCCACACACACACACAAAACAATCAATAATATTATGTATAAAAACATGTATTTGAATTATTAGATTATTCCTTTAAAATATTAAAAATAAATAATATGAAATAGTTGGTATTATATGTGTAAATGCAAAATTAATTTTTAATAAAATCAATTATCTCAATGCTTTTTTGTACATATCATTGCCATCTCTGTATAAATTAAAAGCTACGTTCAAAAGAGAAAACTTAAGTTTTAAGAAATATATTAAATTTAGTAGAATATAATAAAAATAATTTAAAATTTAATTTCAAAAAAATTGATTATATCAAGAATAAGTTAAAGAAACACATGAATTCTATTATTTATTAAAAACAACATATTAAAAATTCATACACGAGAGAAAGATAAATCATACTTATCAAAAAATAAAATTTTATAAAAAAATTAGAAATTTAATTTGATGAGAATTTTTATAATAAACGAAAAATTTAAGAGATTAATTTTAATCAATAAAAAATATAATCCGATATATATATATGTTTATTCTGAAATTTAAAAACATAAGAAGCCAAAAACATCTTTTAAAAATATGAGGAACAAAAAATATATTTTGAAAAAATGTTAGAAAAAAATGGATTAAGTTAAAAACATGAGATGTCAAAATATTTTTAAAAATACAAGGATTTAAAAATCCATTTTGAAAACATAAGGAGCCAAAAAGGAATGAAGTGTAAAATTTGAAAATAAATATCCAAAAAGCTATAAAAAATTATGAAAATGCCATTGCAAAAAATATAAAAATGCCATACAATGAATAGCGAATTAAGGCAAATGAATAGTATTTTATTGTTCATTTGCTTCACTTATTTTAGTTATACTAGTTAGATACCCACGCTACGTTGCGGTCGGACAACCATTGTATACGTAGTGTTAATAATTCGTATGGTATAATGTGATTAGAAATTTTATTTGTAGTGATTAATATAAATCGAATCTATATATTATGCAAAATTGTTTGATTTATATGTATTTATTACCAAAATAATTTATAATATTAGCATAAAAATTTGTATTTGAATAATTAAGAGGTTCTTTTAAAACATTAATTAAATTATTTTATTTAAAAATAAAAATTTTAAAATTTTAAAAAATAAATAATAAATAATCGATGTTATCTATACATATATGTAATTAATTTCTAACAAAACTATATATATATAAGCAAATAAAATATATAAAAAAAAATTTAACTAATTATTATTTAAAAAAAATTGAGTCAAACTATCTAAAGCACATTTTTAGTTATCTCTTTCTCTCATCATAATTTATACATGCAACTACGCTAGTCTTATTTAAAAATTATATAAAAAATAA